CCGATATGTCGACAATAAAAGTCACAGCCCTTGAGAGTTCACTCAACAACAGCCAGGTAACAACATTTAAGGGAATGTTCATACATGTCCTGGTTTGGTCCTGGTCTGGACCCAGTCTGTTCTAGTTCTGGTTAAATCCTGGTCTAGTCCTGGTTAGTTCCAGGTTTACTCATAGTAGGTGTGGGCGATATCTCGATATTTTAAATGTATCGAGATATTTTTTAAACTCGATGTGGATTCTGACATATCATCTATATCAGTATAACGCTTATATTCAATTCTGATTTTGCCGCTTCGCTTGTTTGCCTTCTGTGTGCTCGCCCTGCGCGCCCCCGCCTCCCTGATTTTGCTGCTTGTGTCTCATTCACTGTCGCCGTGAACGCCCAAAGTTGGTGCCAGTGAAAAGATTCAAGCCCCACAAACCTTTTCCACCATTTACAGACAAAACCATCATCAGCAGCACATCCTCACAGAGAGAACACTCATATTCATGGCAAGGAGTGAGGAGTGAATGAGACACGGGGAGGTGGGGGCGCGTGGGCAACAACAGAGAAGACAAACAAGCGAAGCGGTGAAATCAGAATTGAAAATAAGCATTATATAGATATATATACGATATGTCAGAATTCATATTGAGTTTTAAAAATATCTTAGATATATTTAAAATATCGACATATCGCCAACCCCTATTTTAAACGTTGGGTTTGATGCAGTGAATTGTGGGATTAAACCTCAGAGCTCCTGACACTGGTGAGGAACATGGATCTGTTAAAATAATGAACCTCTGAGCTTCTGACGCTGAAAGAACTCATGGTTATAGTTATGATCTGGATAACAGAGATAATGCAAAGATGAGCTTGAGTTGTTGTTTTATTTATGAATGAAAAGAAGGAAATTGCCTTATTTCTTTTATTTTACAGTTAAATTATTATTTATGTAATTAGGATTTTTTTGTAATCTTAAATGTGGCAGACGCTCATGGTTCCTGTATGAACTGCCGACCTCTTGCACTTGAATAAAAAAAAGACCTTATGGAATTTGGCAGATTTGTTTTTGCCGTTTTCAGTTTTGGGGGTTAATTTTTTCCTGTACAGATATCCAGATATATATCGTATATAGAGATATAGCAAAATATATCCAGATATAATTTTTTGCTCCATATCGCACAGGCCTAACTAAAGGTTTAGCCCCTATTTCAATGTTGTTGATATTGCACACATCCTTTGATAGATTTGTAATGTACACACCTCAGGTCTGTCACTTCCAATAAGTGACACACTCCTCAGGTCCACTGCTCTTGTGTGGACCACCGTGGCTTTAAGTTTAAGTGTATTCAAATATATTAATAATAATATATTTCAACATGAATATATTCATACTTACAGTCATATAATAATATCAATTTTGACTTATGACTCAATAATAATGTTTTTTCATTTTATTTCCCCCCACAGGATTTTGATTGTCATATGGGGTTGTCATTGTTGTGTCATGTGATGGAGAGTCAGTTCACTCATCCAGGCACTTTTACACAGGTATGTAAAAAGACACTTAAAGACAAAACTTAGTTGTTTAAATGTAAAACTGAATTTCCCTATGTTCTTATCATACAGGGAATAAATGAGTCTAGTGCATTAGTAGAGGAGCAAGGCCCTCCCCCCGAGCTTGGAAGGACCAGAAGTATACAGGTATGCAGATCATCTCTCCTCCCTCATCATGTAATGTTCTGTAGCTGGGCTAATTCTTTTTTGTTTTTATAGCTGGAGTATAAGATTGACTGTGATTCAGATGAGCTGTTTGGATTTACCTCAGATGACAGTAAAGACTATGTTCCTGAGTTCATCTGTAGTGAAGATTCATGGGCGTCAAAAGAAAGTCATGTTCTTCAGACAGCTGAGGAAATGAACAACCTCTCAACATTATATTCCAACATAGGGAGCACTTCACCTGTGAAAGAAGGAAAACAGTTGTCTGACAGAGGCAGGTCTCTGTCCAAAAGCTCCCCAAAGCCACGTAAAAGGAGAAGGATAAGTCCATCCTGCCCAGCCCCACACAGCAGATCCCCTTCTCCAAAACAGCAAGAAGAAAGTGAGGAGCAACAGTGCAGTTCTTCTTCTCCGCCTGATTCCGTCCCAGTCTCACTGAAAGTGCCGGCAGTCAGGAGAAAGCAGGATGGCTCACGTCTGTATGATAAGAAACAATATTGCTTGTTCTGTAAAGGAGTGGTGAGATTGTCCAGGCATTTGGAGCTTGTTCATAAAAATGAACGTGAGGTAGCACAAGCCCTGTCTTATGATAAAGGATCAAAAGAAAGAAACCTCCATTTCGAACATCTGCGAAACAGAGGAAATTTTGCCCACAATATTGAAGTGTTACAGGCAGGTACAGGTCACCTTGTTCCTCGAAAGCAACCACGAGAGGATACAGATGCCAAGGATTTCCTGCATTGTAGCCATTGTCAAGGTCTCTTCAGAAAGAAAATTCTTAGGAAACACATGTCAAAATGCAAGTTTAAGCCTCCCGATCAACCAAAGAGAGGGAAAACTGCTGCACCTCCTCCTCTTGGTCTTAATGAAGACTTCTGGAAGCTCTTAAGCAACATGGTGAATGATGAAGTGACTATTGTAGTGAAAACGGATCAGTGTATCCTGGAGTTTGGTGAGAACCTGTTTAACCGTTTTGGCCATGACACTGGGAAACATGAATACATTCGTCAAAAAATGAGGGAGTTAGGAAGGCTTCTGTTATGCTCAAGAAGAAATACTAAATTAAACACCATTGAAGACCATGTTTTTCCTTCAAATTTTATGCATGTCGTAGAGTCAGTGAAAATTGTAGCTGGTTATGACAGGGGAACCAATACATATAAATGCCCAAGTCTGGCTCTCAAACTTGGATATAGCTTGGTCACAATTTCAATGTTAGTTGAGAGCCGTTCAAACATTCAGGGCGACTGTAATGCAGCTAAAAATGCCCGCACATTCCGACAAATATATGAAGCAAGATGGAATGAAATGATATCGGCAGCATCACTGAGAACCCTCCAGGAAGCTAAGTGGAATGCTCCACTTCTGCTTCCCTTTACAAGAGATGTCCAGATGTTTCATTCCTATTTGGAGGCAGAACAGCAGAGACTTTACTCCATGTTGTCTACTGAAGTGTCTTCTGTGACCTGGGCAGGATTAGCAAAAGTCACTCTGACTCAAGTAATACTCTTTAATAGACGAAGATCAGGTCAGGTGTCCAAAATGCCTCTGTCAGCATATATGTCTCCAAAAAACCAAGATGTGCTGGAAGACCTGGGTGAAGCACTCTCTGATTTAGAAAAGAAACTGTGTCAACATTTCCGAAGGCTGGAGATCAGGGGGAAGAGAGGGAGAAAGGTTCCAGTCCTTTTGACACCTGCGATGCAGGAATCTTTAGATCTTCTTGTCACTAAAAGGGACATGTGTGGAGTTCCCCAGGAAAACACATACCTCTTTGCCAGACCACATGCATTTTCCTGTTATCGTGGGTCTGAGTGTCTCCGGCATTTTGCCAAGGCCTGTGGAGCAAAAAACCCAGATACCCTCACCTCAACCAAACTGCGCAAACAAACAGCAACTTTGTCACAAGTTCTAAACCTCAGCAACACAGAGTTGGATCAGCTGGCTGA